CCTAGCACGGACGTTTTACGGGACGCGTGCTCGATTACCTTGGATATGACTGCGGAAGAGCTGAATGAGAAGTGCGGTACTAAAACCGTATGGCAGGGAAGTGGGGTGCTTACTGAGAGGATCGTGGAGTCGACCTTGGAGGCGCAGAGGCCCTTCAGTTTCCATTACAGGGCGTACCCATCGATTTGGACGTTTCCGACGGTTCCTTATCAAACCCGATCAAGTCTCTCAATCTCTGCAAAACCCATCGACAGCTGGCCATGCACTCATTGCGCATGAAGACGTAACCGACGAGGAAATTTTGATTTATCGGTGTCACACCAACTATCTCAAAGAACGGCATTCCGTATCGGTTGGTCTTGTTTGTGGAATCCATACCGATCACATACGGGTACGTCCGTAGGATGTCTACCATGACTGGATGCGCCATGAAGGCGTGCTGTAAAACGCCTTGATCATCAGACAATACCCAGTAGACATACTGACTCTGTCTAGCCAAATGTAGAAACTGCTGAACAACTCCTCTCCCATCTGACATCTCGGTTCTGAAGTCATTTCGGCAGTTGTAGATGTGTCTGATGTTTGGATGATCTTGAGGAAATTGCTCGACAATAGTCGCCATGATGTTACGCGGTGCTACCTTAGAGTTGGTCATGTTATGCACAACCTGCTTCGCTTATTTTACGATGGCCCTCTGGATACGCAATCATTGGATGGTTGTGGGTCCCAGTTACATCATTTTTCACTGTGATAAACCAACAGTCGTTGACAAAATTGTAAGATATCTTGATGTAGAAAGGACAACCATTGGCTTTGGTTTTCGTGTCCTTCCTTATTGCGTTCTCAAGATCTCTCGGCTTACTCCTGCGTCCCCGATCACATCTTAAATATCGATATGGCCGACCATCCCTCTGTTTGTTGAAAGACGATTTCACCAAAATAAATCCCAGATTTATTGCAACAGCATCCGCCCAACTAACTGCTTCATCAAACGTTCGAAAAACCTTGTCTGTCACGAAATTTGCACTATAATTCACACCGTCACCGCCGTCCTCAACCTCCGAATCCTTTAACAATAAACCAAACAAATGAGGCAAATATTAGTATTATAAATTTAATAATAATATGTTTATTAATAAAAAAAAAATAATAATAATAATAAAAACTATAATAACAAAAATAATAAAAATAATAAAAATAATAATATAAATAACAGTAACAACAATAGTGATAATAATTACAATAACAATAATCATGCTAACAACAACAGTAACAATATTATTAATAATAAGAATAATAAGAATAATAACAATAATAATAGTAACAAAAATAATAATAATAAAAATAAAAATATAAAAATCGATAATAATAATAATCATACTAACAACAACAATAACAATAACAATAATAATAATAATAACAATAATAATAACAACAACAACAACAATAATAACAATAATAATAATAATAATAATAATAATAATAATAATAATAACATTAGAAATATAAACATAATTAATAATAATAATAACTAACACAATATAATAATACTCACAAAAAAATCAGCAAAAATAATATTATGAATTGTGAAAGAATTAAAAAAAAAAAAACCGAATTTAGGGACTTCCGCCCATTATTTTCGGATCCTAGGAGAAGATCCGCCTAAAAAATCCGGAAGATCCTCCTAGGATCCGGAAATTCCAGGCGTATGTTGGGATCCGCCTAGAATTTTCCGGATCCTAGGAGGATCTTCCGGATTTTTTAGGCGGATCTTCCCCTGGGATCCGGAAAAAATGGGCGGAAGTCCTGAAAAAAAAAAAATTTAAAAACTACGACTTACAGATTCTTCCGACGACTGCTCCGGCGTACTAAAGTTGTCGTCGCTCATCGTCAATAGTGGGCCCCAAATTCCACACTCGGGATTTTAAAAATTGGTCGGAATTACCGTACAATGGTGGTCTCGGGTTTTTTTGTGGGTCGGGATTTTTTAAAGACAAGTGGGGGGTCGGGAATAATATTTAATTTCTTACAAGCTAAAGTGAGTCATGGTGGAGCCTTATATGGAAATAAAACACTCAAGGGCAAAATAGTCAATACACATAAAAATGCGAGCGTCATCCTGTAATTTGCGAACGACGAATAGCAGTCACTATAAATATAAAGATGAATATTTAAAAAAAAAATATATCTTTAGAGTGAGCTTGGCAGGTGTCCCTATTGCCCATTACTTTTTGTCTGGGACGCGCAAATCGTATGTGACATGTAATTGGTCGGCAAATTGTTGTCAAATCAGTTTGTCTAATGTTTTTTTTTTGTTTTTTTTTGTGTGTGTATGCTTTTTGTGTTTTTTTTAATGAAACATTTTACGGAGTAATTTTTACACATTTTACATGTGCTGGTGTGCTACTTTCTCTAGTCCACATTTTTTGCAATTATAGTTAATGAAAATCACAATTGAATTTGTTTTTTGCATTTGAATAGTGAAAAAAAAAAATCACACAATTGAAAAAATTTCTGATTGAATTTATGGTTTGACAAGTATAAAACTCAAAGTATTTCATTCAAATAAAACAAAGGAAGATCACCTTTCTCAAAATATAGATATACTGTGAATATTAAGACTATGCCAAAAAAAAAGTGTTCAAACAATTTTACTACATAAGAAAATGAAAAATGTTCAATTTATTATCAGATAATGAGAGTTATACATTCAACTAGAACGCTTGAATGGATCACTGCTCTCCAATTTATGATAGTCTAAAATCCTTAGCAATTTTGCATATTATTCCTGGATAGGCTTGGTTGAAGAATTGAAGTAATAATAATACGTTTCCCAAATCAAGTAGGCATTAAATATGAACAAGACCATCAAATAAACTAGTGATTTTCATGAAAGTTGTTAAAAGAAATTAAAATTCCACACAATTACACTACTTTTTATAAAAGTTCCCAACATATCATCCACGTCATCCATCTTATTTAAATATGTTTTTTTTATTTATTTTTTTTGAACAAAACCGCTATTTTTTTTCCTTGTAAAAAAAACAGTTTACCTTATATAAAACCGCTAATTCAATAAGCGGTTTATCTATCACCATATAAAAAGTGTGGGTTTAATATAACGTAAATAAACCGCTAATTCAATTAGCGGTTTTATGAAAGGTAAAACCGCTAATTCAATTATCGATTTTGCTCTAAATCAGGTAAAAAAAAATCATATTTAAAAAAGTTGGATGACGTGGACGGTATATATGGAATTTTGATAAAAAGTAGAGCAATTGAGGAATTTTGAGTTATTTTAGCCATATTCATGGAAATCGCTCTAAAAATTTTGGATTACTAATTCGATACTGTGAAGCTTAATAATATAGCACCATGCAAAGGATGGGATTTATCAAGGAGGATCAACATACAGCTTAAGTAACAAAATTACAGGAACTATTGTTTCTACATGTATTACACCGATCCTCTATCTGGTGTAAATATAAGTTTTATAGCACTTCAGGCCATAGGGCAGCAGCTTTGCTATTGGAAACATTTTCTGTCGTCAGAATCACGATCCAAGGTTTGTGGACATCTTCAGCGTCAAGTTACCAGCAAGCAGCTATCTTTTTAAATGTCGTGCTCTGACTGTTCTATATATACAATCAACGATGTTTCCTAGATAGCTGTTTCAATAGCTTAATGAGCTCGTAAGTCTTGGTGTCTTTACCAGAATACAGGCAAAGCTCCAAAGGAGTCAGATTGTCCTGAAACACATACAGAAAATGTGTTGAATAATTCATACGACAAGGTTAAGAAAGATTAATAAGATCTACATCGGAATACCTTTATTTTATTCTCAATGTAGCAGAAATGCAGAACCAATGCTAAAACCTAAAGGCTAGTACGATATCAATAGTTTCAATTTTAATTTTTTTTAACTAAAACAAGTTTTTGGAAACCATGTACATTAATTTCTAGTTTGCAGTAATACTAGTATATTTGACTAATTTTAGTTCATTATACTTGTACAATTTATGAGTTACACGGGCTATCATGCAATTTATCAAATCTTAAAATAAAAAATGACAACCGGCAGTGAGAATGAGCATGCCTTGTTCACTTGTAGTATATCCAAGTAAATCAAAGAACTCAAGGAAGAATAATACCGCATGATACATACTATACTTGAGTTTCAGATAGTGTAGTGCAGGTGCCTCTCCTAATACTCCAAATGTCGAAGCACTCCCGCATGATACACACTATACTTAAAGACTTTCAGATAGTGTAGTGCAGGTGCCTCTCCTAATACTCCACAGATTCAAGAGGCTTAAAATGTACTAGGGAGTAACCTTAGGAATAATCCCCGAATTCTCTCTTCACTTGGGCCACCCTAAGGTGGTGTGGACACTGGACAGGATAAAAACAAGCAGATGACATAGATAGAATCAGACTCTCAACCTCAAGGTTGAAAGAGGTAGTCTTCCCAACTAAAAAGCCTCAATTTCTTAAAGGCATTTTATGGAGGAAAGCCAGGAAACAAAGCACCTGAATGAATAAAGATAATACCAAGTATTCCTCAAGTGAATAAGCTAACAAACAAATCACCTAATGGTTCAATACACTTAAAACATTCTCAGAAACAATACCGGTTATAATTTACATCGAAAAGTACAAGAAACTTGCCTTGTTCTTTAGTGTCTTATCTGCTCCTTTCATTAAGAGGAGTCTCACAACATCTGTTCTTCGAGCCTGAACAGCAAGATGCAATGGAGTCCACCCATCCTTTAAAAGGAAGAACAATGTACATACAACATATGTTCAGAACTTTATTAATTAAAAAGTCGTCAACAAGCAGAAATGAAGGCTCGTACATTGTCTTGGAGGTTAATATTAACATTGTGCAGCAACAGTGTTTTAATAATCTGACTTGATGCGGTTCGAACAGCATAATGCATCAAAGTTGCCCCATCCTGCAAGCATCAGTAAAACATACCAGATCATCATCCTTTGCAGAATGATCACAAGAAGGAAAATATACTGGTAGCTATTCACCAATAACTACAAACAATCTGTCAAGTCATCACCATATGGAAACCTTGGAAGCTTAACAGTTCACATATTTTGAATGTCTGGAGCTAAATTGTAGGACAGCCAGTAAATAGACATAGTATAAAAGTTAAGGAACAGAACTGAAGTGAATCGATCATCAGATCTCAAGCCAGCTCTTGTTCTTCTACTAATCATGGATTTACTTTCAAAAGTTTTTGGAGTGATATAAGAAGAGATGTGTCAGCCTGTCATATATGTTTACGAAAGATAACATTCAATGGTCTATACTTTTCTCAGTTTTTCAATAAAACACATCTCAAGTCGTCCTCAAGCACTCTTGTGCATGTCAATTTCCATTATAGCCCTCAAATGTATTTGTAAACCCAAAGCTTAGCACAATTGTTCATTGAACTCCCAAATAAACAGAAAATGAGTGTTTATATACCATGGGCATGATTCAACTGGGTGAACAGAAGAAGCCCTACTTTGGGCATGCTCTCATGGAGGCATGGATAGGGTTGGCAAAAACTGACCCGACCCGAACCCGATCCGAAAAAAGCGGGTTAGGGTTGAGGTTTCCGACCCGAAAACTTAAATGGTCGACACGAACCCGAACCCGAAATTAAATGGGTTAGGTTAAGGTTGAAAATCTCAACCCGAAAACGACCCACTTAACCCGAAATAAATTTCAGGTCAAAATCAGGTCGGGTCAACCCGAACCCGACCTGATAACCCGAACTAATTTAAGTAAGAAAAAGAAAAAAAACGTAAAAAGCTTATTAAGCACAGCCCAAATTCACAAAGAGGCTTCCATATATAAACTCAATACCTTAAATGAACTCATTTCTCCTCATTGATCTTCGGCCGTTTTTCCCCTCACTTCTCTCTCTTTAATTTTCTCTCTTCTCAAAAACTCATTGTTGAATTCGACAGAGGTAGTTCCGTTAAGCCCAACTTTACCATTGTCATTTCCTTGACGGCTTGAATCCTTCACTCCTCCACGAATTCCTCTCCTTCATCAAAGGTATCTTGCTTCTTAATTTATTTTCTTTTTTTTTTTTTCGTGTTTTTTATATGCTAGTTTTGTTTATTTTCTAATTCTTCTGTTGTTAATTTTATATTTACTTGCTTCCGTTTATTTTAGTTTTTTACATGCTAATTTTCGAGTGTTATTACTAAATTCTGATGTTAAATGTTGTTGATTATGTTATTATACGGTTGTTTTTGCTAATTTTTTTATTGTTAATGCTAATTTTTATTGTTAAATGTTGTCTATGTTATGGTGATTCTTGCTAATATTTGTTGTTTACTTTTGTTTATCATGAGCATGCATGTTTTAATTTAGATCTTACTAGTTAGATCTAGATAATATAGTCTGATTTAGAATTGCATGTTTTAATTATGTTAGTGTTGTTTTTCTTTATAGGTTTGGCAGCAAGAAGTAGCCCACCCATGTTCAATTGGAAATGTTGTGGATCAATTTTGAAGCTTGAGGTGGTGAACAAGGATGACAGCCATGACAAATTGACAGTCCCAACATCGCCCGATCTTAATCCAAATGAAAATCTTATTGCATCTTCTATTATTTTTTGAAAACTGTAATTTGTGTTATTAAAACTTTATCTTTGGTTTGTAATTAGTGAATTACAATTTTTATTGGTTTATTATCGTTAAGTAGGATTGTTACTTTGTTAGACTAAGCTATTTAATTTTGGTTTGAATTAAAATGCTTAACCTGCACAACTTGTATTTGAAATGAAAAAAAAGTTATCCAGGTCAATTTTGGGTTAACCCAAACCTGAATATATCAGGTTTGGGTCGGGTTAATTTCAGGTCAAAGAAACCTGATTTTAACCCAAATAAAAAATTAGGTCAAATAAGGTCAATTTCGGGTTGACCCGAACCTGAAAATATCAGGTTCAAGTTAGGGTTTTCAACCCGAAAAATTAAATGGATCAGGTTCGGGTTGGGGGTAGCTGACCCGAAATTTAGGTGACCCGAGCACGAACCCGACCTGATCCATTTGCCAGCCCTAGGCATGGACCTATGTGGCTCATGAGCTAACATGTGTGCCTCAATGCACCGGGACAGCCCATGTGACCAAATTCCTCTTCAGTTCATTTCCTTCTTTGATTTAGAAAAATTAAGTCAATGGTTGAAAAAAAGGAACATCTCGTTTGCGGTCATAAGGTGAATTAATGAATAAACATCCTTGCAAAACTTTGAGCCTCAAAATCACGATACATATATCCATGACTGCATTTATCACCTTGGCTCATGGAAATTAGGACCCTTTGGGCCTTATTGTGCCTTGCACTTTTTTTAAAAGCTAATATCTCTACAGGAAGGCTTGCAGCTGATCAAATCAACAAAATTAGTCCCGGTTTAGGGTTTAGGGTTTAGGCTAAGCCTGCCCCATATACAAGGCATACGAGAGGCAGCTACAACAATGCAGAAAAATAAACAATACGATGGCGCACAAACTCAAACACAAAGCTTCAAAACATCAGGAATGGAGTATAAAAGATGGAAGAAACTTTCTTCTCACCTTGTCATGAGCAAAAGGATCAGCTGATTCTCTCAGCAAATAATTTATTATAGCCTGCTTTTTACAAGTTATTGCTTTATGAAGTGCAGTTAAGCCGTCCTGGCAAAAGAAATTGACAGACCAACATCAGACTAGAAAGTTAAGAAAAGTGAAAGGCACCATACATGAAAGCAAGATATTGATGATTGATGAAGGGTTGCAGCATTAATACAGCTGTGAGCCTAACCTGATCAGCAGCATTGATATCAACATCATGTTTTAACAAAGTATTCACAAGGTAAAATTCTCCAGATGCAGCAAGAGTATGCAGAGGCAGCCATTTTTGCTACAAAATCAAAATTCCCATTCAAATTTGGAAATGGTGAGAACAGTAAACATATCAGTATCCATGAAACATCACCCGTTGTTAAATTGTTATCATAATGATTAATAATTTAACAATACAATCAACAAAGCCTCATTCCATCTAAATGTTTAAACCCAGGGAACAAAAAAAATAATCTCAAGCATCATTTGAGAAAGCACTGGCCAAATTACACACGTTGGCTGCCTGATACAACTCTTTGTTTTCAAATTTAAACATAGGAAGCGAAGAGCTTACAGAAGTAGCAGCTGCAAGTCTAGGTCTCTTCGCGTTCATTAGGGCCTTCTCTTCCTTTGTAAACAACACTTGACCTTGACGTCCTACATTTGCAACAACATAAAAAGATAAACTTCAGGACTTTCCATGTTAATGGAATTGAATTTTATAGAATGAAATACCACCTTTAAATTGTTATATTACATGAAACTTGGATAATCTTGAAGTAGAAACATGACAGCCCACAACTTCAATATTATCCTAGTTCCTTTTCTCATAACAACCCCAAAAATAGTTTAACAACCCTGGTCTTTAACTACTGGTAAACTAAATTTCAAAGGATGTTTGAACAATTAAACAAATCTCATTTTCCCAGCAATTTCGAAATTCCATACTGCAGAATTACATATAATAAGTAAAGTTAAGTCCAAATAAATATGGCATAATTTACCAAAGGGGTAACTTTTACTTCGTACGAATTATATGATTTATCGTGACTAAACATGTCTATCCAATACACCTGTTGCATACACGATCTAAACATACTATAATACAAGTAATAATACAACGATGAGTTAAGAAAGCTAATACTACCATCAGATTTTTCACTAGGCTGATAGTTGCCACTGTTGAAGAATTCTGTAATGTCATCCAATCCTCGACCATAAACAACCCATCTCGGATTCTTCGGTTCAACCCTAGAAACTACAGTCTCTCTCCTATCTTTGCAACACCACCATCATCATCATCATCATCTTTTCCCTCCTTTTCGGCACGAAACGCAGGTGGGTTATCAAGAACAACAGGGTTCAATTGAGACAATTTCTCCTCCCTTAACCTCAAATACTCCTGCATATTCACATTAATCATCTTCCGCTTCACAACTTTCTGCCCAAATTCCATTTCCTGAGCAATTTTTCTCCTTTCTTTCTTGGTCAAATTGATTTCTTCCACAATCGAATTCCATTTTTCTGGGATTAAATTCTGGGGTTCAATAATTTCTGCTTGTTTTTGCCTTGATTTGGGTTTCTGGGTAGTTTCAGAATCTGAAGCAATTTGAGGGTTTAGTTCTTCTTCAAGATATGGGTCCTCAAAAACCCCATCTTCAAAAATTAAACAATCCCCAATTACCTGTTCTTCATATTCATCTTCATCTTCGAAATTTGAGGTTGCAAATTGGAAGTTTTGGGAGTGTGAAGGAAAGGCGTGGCAGAAGACATGGGATGAGAGAGAATTGAGGGGTTTGAGAGAGTTAGAGTGGGAAGAGTAGAGGCAGGAGAGAATGGATGGTGTGAAGAGAGATATTGTTTTAGGGTAGTGAGAATGGGTGAGTGATAACTATCAGCCTAGTGAGAGTTAGAGACAAATTTTATCACGCAGTTACGAACGTAATTTTATTTTATTTATTTATTTTTTTCACCTCTCACAGGTTTAATCAGAGTGGAGAGGTAAGAGAATCCTCTACTCCCAAGCATTTTGTAGTTAGTGAGATTCGAACTCGTGACCTCAAAGTCACAAGGTAAGTTCCCCACCAATTCCATCAAGCTTTGCTTGGTAGTTACAAGTGTAAATGAGCCCATATTTTTTTTACACAAACAAGGAACCATATTTACGGAGTATATTAATAGGCTAAGCCGTTATTATAATTGTTATAATTAGGTTAAATTCGTGCAATGCACGATTGTTAAATAATTTATAATGAAAATAACTTTATAAAGAAAGGTATAAAATATACTTGTATTTAATTAACTCCCAAGCATTAAAATGTATTCCCCTCAAAAAAAAAAAAATAATAATAATTAAATGGTTTTAATAGGCAATTTGATATTTTAGGAAGTTTACTTTTGTATAAAGTGAATGTCATAAATTAGATACAAACCTTCTTTTTCTATAACAATGAATTTTTTTAAGCAAATAAATTTGGAGGGAAATTTTTTAATAATACGTTGCCAAGTGTCATTTTTAGTTTTGCTTGTAGTAATATGTAATAGATTACAACTGGCACCAATAATTTGTACAAGGAAAATTGATGCTGCACAAAATAAGGCCTATGAGATAAACAATACTACTACCGAAGCCCATCCTGGTACTTGTAGACACCTAAAAATGTCTCCCCAAAACCAAACCCGATGATGAACAACCTTTCACCACGATTATTGGTCGGGTTGGGTATTTAATCTCGGGAGTGCTTCAAAATCCATATTTAGTCAAACATAATCAGTCCACTAATTAGTCCAAGCATTTATTCAAACTTAGTCCAACTCACATTGCAGCCCAAACCCTTTTTAATTCATTTCTTGTTATTTATTAATTAAGCCCGATTAACAAATAATTAAACCCTAAGCCTGAAATAAGTCCGGAATAGCTGAAACGGCGCCTAATTATCACGTGCTTAATGCTTAAGTAAAAGATAAAAATGAATTTAGACCGAATTTAGGAAAATTGATTTGCCGTGCCATGGCAAGTTTTGCCGTGTCACGGCAATTTGCGCCGTGACATGACAATTTTTAGGTTTAATTTCTTTGTGGCGCTTCAATTCTAGGGTTCCGTGCTTCACCCTGATATTTTTCTATAAATACGAAGCTGATTTCACCAGTTTCGGGGGCACCAAATAATCCTCTCTTCCTCTCTTAGACACCAACACACATTCTAATCTCCCTCTCTCATATTCTAAGCCTTAAACCTATTTTCCTAATTACACCATTCCTCCCTTAAGCACTCCTCGGAGTCCATACAACACCCGAAGTTCCATACTTAAACCAAGGCGTGAAAGGTAGAACCAATTAGGGGTTTGGACTAAATCAACTCTACTTTTATTTAATTTAATTTCAATTTGATTTATTGTTCTTTGAAGTTACTAACGTTTTATTCATGATGTAGCAATTTAAAGAAGCGTGGAACGTGAGTAATTTGTTTACTCAATTACTCTTATTATTTTTCTTATTGCTAGTATTATGATTAGGTTTATTGTTATGCTTTGATTTGACTAACGTTATTATGGTTAAATTGCTTCCAATGTTGATGTTTATTATATTATATTGATCACCATATTGCATGTTAAAAGAAATATGTAATTGAATATAACGCTTAATAAGATAATTTGGACGACCTGTTTAGGTTCCTTTTTAATCTTGTTGTTTAATCAAGTGGTCACAATATTTTAGAATTATATGTTGCATTAACGTTCAACCAATTTGGCCTAATTTATTTTGGAGCAAATTAAATCTTTGTTTGTGTGCCTTTGAGATCCCAGGAATTACTTTTCACAATAAGAATCGAGTAGAGGCCAATATGGGCGAATGTGACTCCATGACTCACTTTGTACCATCATCCCCGATCCTCCTTTCGTGGTTCCGAACCATATGGAGTTAGTAATCTCATGGATTATGAATGGGGTGTAACCTTCGCGGGTCAATCGTTGTCCCTTAAACGTGGTTGCCTTATAATGATCCGTGAACGGTTTACAAGTTCCTTACAATCTTGTTGGCGTCTCTCTACTTTGCTTTGTCGCTAATCATGTCCCTAATCGTATATTGTAAATTCTCACTTCCTATGAGTGCCATGGATGTTCA